TCTCCTCTCTTCTAAGCTTTGGAAGGTTTCCAAAAACTTTCGGTTTTTGAATTTGCCGTATCATTTTTAACCTTATTATATAAATTTTGGAGCCTGGATGCGGGCAGCGCAGGACCGTGCATTGTGGAAAACCTTGGAAGAGGCCTTTGTCCAGCAGTGGACGTCATTTGGCTGAAACGAATGAACGAACATAAATTTTAGGGTTTTATTTTATTCACCGTAGCTCGCCAGGTCTACCCTAACCCTAAACATATTCAAAATAGGCCCAGTAATGCTAACAACCAAAAATAATAGTCTTGCTCATTGTAATTTGAATTCATAATTGTGTTTGGGCCAACAACAGCACTTGGAATAATTTACCATTTAAATTATTGTCTGGTTGTTAATGATTCCCTCTCAGTTATTTATCAAGTTTTAGTAATGATTGTCAAACAAACGAAAATTTTATGAAACTACTCAGAGAATTTCGACGTCTTTCGGCTGAAACGAACAAACGAACGAACTCAGAGAATAATTTCATTTCGCAGTTACAGAGGCATTTGTATGAAACGATAATTATTCTCATCATGAAAGTCTCAAGTAGGTTTTTCAGCGACGTCTATTTTTGTGCCTTTCTTTAGTTTATAATAAACATAGCTTATTTACGTTTGTATAAATCATTGATTTTGTTAAAATGTTTTTGTAATAAAATTAAACGAATAATTTCTTAGAAACACCAATAGCAACAAGACAATAGGTATTGGGCAAATAGCCTAACTAAAAATGTTTTTCTTTGCTATTTTCCACGAAATACAATGGCGAAAAAATAGTACGTGTAGTGCGTATCGCCTTAATCATAAAACATTGTTTATAATTACTGCGTACTTCAAAATAATACTCCTGACTGATAAAAAGATACCTAGCAAGAAATCTTAGCTTAAAATATTGGACACTTCTCAGCGAATTCCGACTCCGTACTTTCCTCTTGATTACAATTCTAAAAATAAAGTAACTTAACTTTAGTATGTCACAGCCGAGTTGTAACAGCCAACTACTTAGTCGTAAGACGCGAAATGCTTATCTTGTGAGTTACATAGTGGATATGGCACGCATTTAAAGGGGCATAAACAAATGACATTTGTGACAGTTTTGATTTCGAATATTCACACATACAAAAAAAAACACCGGAGCGAAACGATTTCGGAATCACAACTGTCACGTCTGGTTTTGTCTAGGAGAGGTTTATTTTTAATATTGTTGTTTTTTTGTTGGTTTGAGGTGAAAGATATTTTGACGGTTTGTTATAAATTAAACCCACTTTTTGGGTAGTTTTTTTCTTTTTGTTTCTGCAAAAAGAGTTGCAAATACCTTAAATTAACGAATACGACTTCACTGGCTGCTGTATCTGAGCTGTGACCATGTTTGTCTGCAACTACAATGTTTTGTTAAAACTCTGTTGAATTTCCAAAGGGAAGCAAGAACTTTAAATTGTACTTGGGTTACTTAACGTTATTTTAGTTTCTGAAACGGAAAAGTGAGATTGTGAGTTTTATTAAAATTAAGATGAAAAAACAAGTTGTATTCGAGAAGTTATTACAGAATTGAGGTTGCGCTATTCTTTCTCTTGCAAACGTTGAAACGTTAGTCTGTTGTTTCGTGTTTTAACCGACTTCAAAAAAGGAGGTCTTTTGTTAAAACTGGGAATTAATCTGGCTGTACGTACACTGAGAAAAATGATTTGTGCTTTGTCACTAACGGAATAACTAAAAACGGCTTTGGAAAAGTGTTTATGATTTTGTAACTCCCTAAGATTGGTTTGTTTGTTCCCATCTGTGTTATTTACCTATTTACAAATGTAATCCTTGAAGGCACTAAGAAGAAGTTGGAGGTAAGATATAGCCAGTTCCTCTGTGGTTGAGGATTCCGGGTGAAGCTCACTTCCACCTTCAGCCTGATCATCACTTTCCATCAGGTGACATGCAAGCCAAGAGTTTGTCAATTGTGGATCATCATCATCATCATCTCAGCTACTACGTCCACTGCTGAACATAGGCCATTGTGGATACAAAAACTAATCTGGTTGCTAAAATCTATTCACCAATAGTAGAATGACTTATTATGAAATTTCTCATTTCCTCAGAATAAAGCAATACCAAATTTACGATCAAAATTTCCAGCAACTAGTTCTAGTGGAGCGAACAAAACGCCGTAAATAAGCAAATCGAATGTTCGAATACAAATACAGGGTGGCAATTTAGATACCTGCACTAATTAGTTACTTTGAAACTTTCGCGTTGATTGCAAGTATAATTGGATTAAACGCCGAAGTTACGGGGTTACTGGACAGCGGTGTTTTGACGATCCATAATATTACTAAAGTGGAAAACATAAAAAAAGATATTAACTATCAACGCTGTGGATGTCGTGAGAGATGACAAAGGCACAAAGATGTGACCATGACCATCAAGTATCAAGGGAGTACTTTAGTACCTAAGCATTGCGTAATTCAAAAAAATATTGGTGACGTATGGTTTTCACTTCTATTCGTATTTGCACTATCCCTTAAATGACATTTTTTTTAGATATGCAGGCTCTTTTCAGGGCATTTATGTACATCCCGTATATACTCGTAGCATGGTCTACTTTACATTCAGGACAGTTGGTTGTAGGTAAATAGGACAACGTCATTTGGCTGAAATTAAACGAACGAACGAGGTTCCAATATAAAAACTGCAAGTAGCTCACTATCCAAATCGACACCCTGTATATTTGTTATCTAACTCTACGCAGAATTACCACCAGTTAGCGAGCTTTGTCAGTTCGTGATAGCAAACACATCGCAGTTTTCATCTGAAAGCTATTAGTATTAGTTCGTGATAACTCGACTGTTGCATTTAGCTTTTTGGATATTTTATTTTTGCTTTGTTTTGAGGGATTTGCAGTTGACTAGGAAACCAGGTTTATACAGATCAAATTACACAATTTTGTTAGGTTTATTCAACTGAATAATATTTGGATTGGGTGGAAATGTTTAATTTCATCATCCATTAAACAGAGGTTACGCAGTCACCCGTGGAACCCTTAATTCACATCATCATCATCATCACAGCCATAGGACGTCCACTGCTGAACATAGGCCTCCCCCAATGCTTTCCATGTTTACCGATTGGTAGCGGCCTGCGTCCAGCGCTTTCCTGCTACCTTTATGATGTCGTCGGTCCACCTTGTGGGTGGACGTCCCACGCTGCGTTTTCCGGTACGCGGCCTCCACTCCAGAACCTTGCTGCTCCATCGGCCGTCAGTTCTGCGTACTATGTGCCCTGCCCATATTAATTCACATCTTGTCATCATCATCAACATAATAATATCGTCATTCAGTTTCTACCTCTATTTTACCAGAGGCGAATGGAAGATTGACGCTCACAAACGATGCTTGCTTAAGTGAAGAGTCAAATCGAACGCACAGCGTTGAATAGAGCTATGTGACTGGTTCGCACTGTGAGACCTCATAGTAATGTTTGTGAATACGGGCGAGTCTACACTCCCTTCGCCGCTAGCCAGACAGGTTTTGGAGGATATGTTACGGTCAAAGTGATAAATGTGAAAATTATGAATAATCGCCGGTTATTATGAATAATTACCGCATGATTTGGTAAATGTGATTAATATGAGGTCATTTATGTGTGTATAAAACTAAATAGGCGGCTTAGGGGTGGCCCAAGGGCCACCCCCGCCGCACCTTAACTTATTTTTCACTTTCAATCAAAACATTATGTTATAGGCATCATGGAAAAGTAATATTATGCAAGAGACATTCTAAACTCATTATGCTAAATTATATTAATATATGATATCAAAACGTTCAAAAGTTTGGCTGTACACGAGCACGTACACAAGATGCTGTTCTCTTTTATGAAATTTGTTAGTACTAAGGTTGAATTATTAAATAATCACTGTTAAAATGTGATTAATTTATCACTTTTACCGCGTCCGTCGGTAATTATTCATAATAACCGGTTATTATTAATAATTTTCAATTTATCACATTAACCGTAACAGATACATAAAAAGCGTCAAAATCCAATAATATTTGATTTTCAGCATAGCGTTGATTCGTGCTTAATAGATTGTGAGTTTCATAAAATATATCACATTGATGAAATTATTTCCAAGCCGTAAATAAACCGATCATTCGTCGAAATATTAATTTATATATTTCATTAAACGAGAGAACTGACAGTAAACAACCTCTGAAAATGTTCTTCAACAGCACTTTTACAGTCAGCACAGGAATATCCAGTTCAAATTCAACATTGAACCTTATTCTCTTGCAATACAGTTCAACTTTATCATACCTCAGGTTAATATTAATGTGCAGATTGTAGGTACCCATCTTTTGACAGGTCGCTGTCCGCTGTCAGTTCAAATAAAGATCAATTTCATTAAACGTGACATATTTCTGCGAATACACAACAAGGTAAACATCGCCATCTTATTTAGTTGTAACTAGCTGTGCCCCGCGGTGTTACTTGCGGTAAAACGTAGCCTGTGTTAATCCAGGGTGTCAGCTAACTCCATACCAAATATTAAAATCGCTCCAGCCGCACGGTGGGCTGTTATTAGAGCTTCATAGACTTAGCGTCGCTCAAAAATCAAGTGCCGAATTTTGAAAAAATAAATATGCCAATGTGTTCCTTTACCAAAAAGGAATATTTTATGTTATGTAACGTTTCTTGATAAAGTTATTATTTAATAAGTTATTGACAATTTCCTTTTTTTTTGTATGGAGCTCAACATTTATTTTTATTTTATTCGTTATTCTTAAGCTTTCTTAAGACATTGACTTTTGTATTATGTAATGCAACATATAAGCTATGTTATCACCAAGTGTCGCATTTCGGAAATCTTCGGAACATTGTCATTTTGGACTTTAAAATAAAAAAAAACGAATTAATTTATTATCGTCAAGAAATACATTTAAACTTAAAATACCATTCGCTTCTTTACATTTTGTTAGTGGTATTTCGTTTAATAAGTTGTTGTATACAGTCGGAAACATCTGGGCTTGCGCGCAGCGTGTCACAACAATTTCTGCATCGTGTAACTCGGCGACTGATAAGGGACCGGTGCGTCGCGCCTGCTTATTGCGTGTATTGTGAATGAACCTCAGTAGGTACGCTCCAGTCCGCTTCAATCTATTAAACTGTGAAAACCTTTTGAAGTCGAATAAGCTATCTGCATTTGTACAAACTGCACTAACTATTTTAAGTTTTAACTCTGGTAGATCTTCACGGATAGGTATCGCTTGAGTATCCCTTGACCAGTCTGCACAATGTAAAAAGGTAGGCCCGTGCCACCACAGGTTATTGTTCTTTAGTGCATCGATGTAAAGGCCCCTTGACACTAGATCGGCTGGGTTTTTATCGCCGTCTATATGCAACCACAGTGAATCGCCTGTCAACTCGTTTACTTCTGTTATTCGATTTTGTACAAAAGTTTTTAATAAATGTGGGGACATACGTAACCACCCCATCACGATTGTTGAGTCCGTCCAAAAGCAAACAGAATCGAATTTTAATCTAAGTGACTCAACAATCTTTTTGTACAATCTCGCACCAATTAAAGCACCACAAAGTTCTAATTTTGGGATACTGATCGTTTTCAAGGGAGCAACCTTACTTTTTGCACATAGTAGATTAAGCGAGACTACTGAATTCTCATCTATTGTACGAATATATGCACAAGCGCCGTATGCATCTTGTGATGCGTCTGAAAAAATATGTAGTTCCGTACGATGAGTGTGAGCTGCCCTAACACATCGTGGAATTTTAATGTCGTGTAAATGTTTTTGAATCGAATCTATGAATTTATGGAATTTTTCTGTGACGTCACTCGGTACTAGGTCATCCCAGTCGATTTTACATAGCCACAGCTTTTGTAAAATGATCTTAGAAATTATGACAACAGGGCCTAGGAGACCTAAAGGGTCATATTAAACTGTGAAAACCTTTTGAAGTCGAATAAGCTATCTGCATTTGTACAAACTGCACTAACTATTTTAAGTTTTAACTCTGGTAGATCTTCACGGATAGGTATCGCTTGAGTATCCCTTGACCAGTCTGCACAATGTAAAAAGGTAGGCCCGTGCCACCACAGGTTATTGTTCTTTAGTGCATCGATGTAAAGGCCCCTTGACACTAGATCGGCTGGGTTTTTATCGCCGTCTATATGCAACCACAGTGAATCGCCTGTCAACTCGTTTACTTCTGTTATTCGATTTTGTACAAAAGTTTTTAATAAATGTGGAGACATACGTAACCACCCCATCACGATTGTTGAGTCCGTCCAAAAGCAAACAGAATCGAATTTTAATCTAAGTGACTCAACAATCTTTTTGTACAATCTCGCACCAATTAAAGCACCACAAAGTTCTAATTTTGGGATACTGATCGTTTTCAAGGGAGCAACCTTACTTTTTGCACATAGTAGATTAAGCGAGACTACTGAATTCTCATCTATTGTACGAATATATGCACAAGCGCCGTATGCATCTTGTGATGCGTCTGAAAAAATATGTAGTTCCGTACGATGAGTGTGAGCTGCCCTAACACATCGTGGAATTTTAATGTCGTGTAAATGTTTTTGAATCGAATCTATGAATTTATGGAATTTTTCTGTGACGTCACTCGGTACTAGGTCATCCCAGTCGATTTTACATAGCCACAGCTTTTGTAAAATGATCTTAGAAATTATGACAACAGGGCCTAGGAGACCTAAAGGGTCATAGATATAATCGATTAAAAATATTTATAAAATGTTCTGATACTTGCCTGTAGCGATTATCCAATCCTGGTTTCTACTGAAAAACTACTTCGTGGCAAGATTTTAATAAAATCTTTATCTTCTCTTTCACAATCTATAAAACTTCATTGGTCTATTATTAATGTGCTATGAATGAGGGTTTTCGCGATTGAAAAATCCGCGAGATGGCAATACGTAGACACGAGGTCCAAATGCTGCATGATTGGTGGATATCTGTCAATCAGTGCCGTAACTAGGGCGGTGCCAGCGGTGCCCAGGCACAGGGCGCAGACCCTGGAGGGGCGCAGAAATGACCAGACCAAGCATTATTCAAGGGCGCAGTTTTGAAAGCTCGCACCGGGCGCATAAAAGGCTAGTTACGGCACTGCTGTCAATGTCATGTCAAAAATAACCAATCATGCAGCATTTGGACCTCACGTCTACGTATTGCCATCTGGCGGATTTTTCAATCGCGAAAACCCTCATTGGCATAGATTATGAGAGACTGGCAACTATACTAGGTTGATATATGTTTCTCACACTTCAACTGGCATTGGATTCAACATCGGATTCTGACACTTTTACAGTTATGATACCATGNATGTAAAATCATCAAACTTCTAATGCTCGTAACTCAGTTCAGACTGAGTTTAGGGGTATACATGTCATAGTAAGTTTGGTTTATTACACTATTTTGTAATCAAAAAACAAGGTTTGGTCGATGGCCGCGCGAAAAAAAAAAGACGCCAATTTCCGGCATTGTCTTTTATGAAGGAGACCTATTTTTTTTATTCAAAATAAGCTGCATTTAATTATTGTCGACCTATTTTAATGTTAACAATGACAAAAACTTAATGGACGCGGAAATTGAAAATTTAATAGATCGTAATAAAATTCTGGAAGCAAAACAATCTCGTAATAACTGATTCTCACTTGATAGATAGAAAAATAATATCGTTGATAAATGGCAGCTCTGCACAAGCAGCGATGTGATATTTGTAAAGTCATATCAACAGAAATGAATAACTTAGACGTAATTGCCATCTAGAAAGGTTTTCAACACCACCAAAAAGTCCACTATAAATGATCAATTTCATGTCTAGGTGATTGAGAAAGACAGCTTTACTTTTGTAGATTCAGAAAGTGGCTCTTGAGTCTAACCAATAAAAGACAATGCCGGAAATTGGCGTCTTTTTTTTTTCGCGCGGCCATCGACCAAACTTTGTTTTTTGATTACAAAATAGTGTAATAAAC